TTCAAACCAAATGCAGGAGGATGAGAATATATTATTCATGCTAAAAAAAAATTGAAAACCAGAAGATCTACTCAACACTACTGCTGTTACTGCTACTAGAAAGCACCACACCATAAGAACTTCATGCTAAAAAAAAATTGAAAACCAGAAGATCTACTCAACACTACTGCTGTTACTGCTACTAGAAAGCACCACACCATAAGAACCACCATGAGCAATTTTCATGGGTTGAGCACTGATTTCACTTTTTACACACAAGAAGCAGTGGTAGGAGTCCGAGTCCTTTACTAAATTACTATGTCATCCTCCTCCTTGCATGATTATTATTCTTGTACCAGATCATGATTTGTGAGAAATTTAATCATGTGAGGAATTTCTACAGAGGATCAATTATAAATTTCCATCATACTAGCACAAGAGGAAGCACTCTATGTAGTATGGAGTCTTAATGTGCAGTACAATTGATGTAACAACAATACTAAATACTACTAGTATTGTTCTTCCGCCAAGAAATGGTCAGGAATTTCAAGAGTCTTGCGTCCAATCTTGTATCGACGTGCAGACGGACGGCCAGATTTCTATTTTTTTGATGACGTGTTCTGCACGATGTAAGAAATTCTCTGGAAGATTGACTGAGTCGACTACTAATGCGGAACGGGGGGATTGGCTCTCTTTGTTCACATCACTTTACCGTTTCGTCACGATAGTGACGCAATGACGGATGACACATCAATTTCTGAAACTTTCACCTTTTCCTTCGTTGTCGACTGCAAATCTAACACGAGCCAAATAAGGCATGACATGACACGAAATGAAATGACATTCCACACCGCGTGCACACAATCATAAATCCGTAACGAGGTATCCCACAGAATACAGTAMAATGGCACCTACTCGATTTTTTACCACCATCCTTTTCACGGCACTTGCTTTCCTTGCATCASGTTCCCTGGCGTTTGCCCCTGCTTCYCAGAGGACAAGCGAAATTGCAACTCGTAGTTCGACTAATTTGATGGGTATTTTCGACGGAGAGCAAGAGAGAACAGCACTGACGCGTGATTCCGAACCTGAAGAGTTTTTCGCAACGTAAGTCTCCGAATCGGTCAAATCTTCCTCTTCGAATGTCAAACTCACAGTTTTTGCTCGCTTTTCGAATTAAAGGAATACCGACAAAATGTCTGACGAGGAAAAGATCCCCATTGCTCTAGCGGGACTTGCTGGAATTTCCCTTCCTTTCATTCTTGGATTGATTGCTCTATATGCTGCCCAAGGATAAGGATCGTCGGTGGCTTGTGGGAAACAATACTTGGAGGCTTTGGGTGACTGCCGCAGTCTTGGTCGTTCAACTTTTCAATCGATTGTGGCTCTGTCTAAGCAGCAAATAGTACATTTTTCCATGATATTCTGTACAATCAAAATTTGAGGTGTTGGTAACCAACAGAACGAGCGACCTTATAATTTACTGTAAGACTAAGCAATAAGACGGCCCTCATCAAATGAGACTGTTTTGAATCTAATGCAATGCTACGCAGTCGATTTTTTGAGGAAATATCAATTTTTTTCTGCTACTTAAAAGTGATCTGATGCTGTTGTCTCGGTTTGTTATTGCCATATTAAGAATCAATGGAAGCAACCGAGAGTGATTATCAATTATAAAACCAGCAACAACGACTATCTTCCTTTATGCCCGTACGCGAAACTATTTCTACGATTTTCAATCGTTGCTTTGCAACACACTGTTACTATCCATCGTTAGTTATTTTGGAATTCCTTGAAAATGATTGTGGAGGGAATCGCGTGTCTTCCTTCTACGCGAAGAGTTGAATTTTATGTAAATACACCACTCCGCCTGCTTCCAAGGGGGAACCAGACGGAAGCTCATGTGGAGATCCGTCGGTTGTATTAATCCGGGATAAAAGGATTTGATGCCAAGAACCAGAGTATTGAAGGTATTGTTGGTTTTTGGTACTCTACTCCGTTTTCAATTTGTTTCTCGTCAGTGTTTTGTTGTTTAAAGTACTACCCCACTTGTACTTCAAACTTCCTGGTTCTATTTATTAGAAACCTGAACCAGACAAAAAGTGGTGGGATGGAGAGAAACTGTACCGGTAGACAAAACCGGATCAATATTTCATAGTTTTGTGGAGGAGATTGAACACCACTACTTTTTACCTTCGTACTTCTACAACACAATAATGACAATATAAATAATATTATTACTGGAAATAGTACTAAAATTTTGTATTTGAAAGATATTGTAATACTTCTAATTATTATTGCCATCACCATTTGCAAATTTACAAAACATACCGTACTACTATTGCACTAAGTACGTATGTACAGTACATGCTATTGAGTTTTCATACAGGTACGAGTGCGAGTGTGTTGTGATTCATCGACCTACCGGTACTTACTATTCGCGCAGCGCGTTCGATCCTGATCGACTCTTAAAAAAATTATGGTTGTTCCAAGGAGCAAATTATGTGGAGCGCTCGTTGTGTACGTAGCCTTTAAGAGCAGATGCAAACAGCCACCATGATAATCCCAGGTACAAGCGCGTTGTCATTAATATTTCGACAGGTGTGTGAGATGACAATAATAAGTGAATACTGAATACTACACAAAATCTTATCTCAAGGTATCATGAATGTTGTACGACAGAAATGAGTGCAATAAAAGAATCACGCCTTTTGCAGACGATCATCCAAACTTTACATCGAGAATGGCGAAACGAATCGTAGGTCTTCACCATTCATTCAAAGAAGACTGGCGAGGGAAAACCTGGCAATTTTCAATTCATTAGTTCTTGTGCGGAGAATCAAGATGAAGAGTGACGAGAAATACGGTGTCGAAACCAGAAGTTGTACCAAAAATTTGATGATGACAACCCAGGCAAACGATAAGATTTTGTCAACGACAAACAAAAAGCAGGCCGTCAAAACAAACTCTGGATCTTCACCACTCATTAACGACGATAGCTTATCCATTTGGGAGTTACCAGAGATCCTTTTATATCAAATCGGACAGTTTGCCTCTTCACCAACCAAAAGAGCTTCCTTTCTTTGTCATCAAATCGCTCCACTTTGTAAGGCATCCTACCGATCCATCCTGACGGAAGAGGAAAAAAGTGTTGGACTGTGGRACTTAGTTCTGCGGGGGGACTATGGAATCGAAAGAAGTATACATGACCAAGGACGGACAAGCAAGAGACTGAAAAGAAGCCCTGCTCACAAAGTTAGAGATGCTCACAGGCTCACGATCGTCAACACAGAAATTGCCTACAGTACGTTATGGGAACTTAGTTCTTCTTCGAAGAAGAATACCCTCACGAAACAAAAACTAGTTGGCATTTTGAATGAATATGAACCTGTGATGGTGAACAGAACAATGGCGACCGGGGGAAATTTCTTGGTTGAAGTTTGTCGCTGTCGTAATACATCTCAAAGCAATATTCTAAATTGCGTCCAAGAGCTTGTGGAACAAAGGGGGGCTTTGGTCAACATTTTAACCAATGAGTCTTCAAGTTCCTTCCTAACTGCACTTTGTGTTGCGTCAGTGCGAGCTATGCCCAAGGTTGTTGACTATTTGCTTTCGAATGGTGCGCTCACCGCTACTTCTATTAGATGCTCCGGGAGATTTCGATTGTTTAAAAATCCGAGGAAAAGCTTGCAATGTAAAAATTCGACCCCTCTAGAATTTTGCTCACAAATGCTTGCTGCCGAACAACAAGAGGGTGCAACGACGCAAGATTTGAAAGATTTGAATCGATGCATTAAACTATTGAAAGGAAAATAATCTTCCTTCCTTTGATTTTTCCAACAGAGTACCTGTGTTACACAACTGTTTAATGAGAATTAAAATGTCGTAGCAATTGATAAATTTACTATTCAATAGCTAGTTGTACAAGAACAAGAAGTATCCCTACTACTATTTTCTAGTTCGGATATTGCAGGTCCTAGTAATATGTTGATATTTGAGAGGAGTATAGTTACTAGTAAGAAAGAAACAGGAAGCAGCAGCGTTGGGTGGGGCTCTTCCTAGTACTGCAGCTACTAGTAGTAATAGTACTAATAGTGGTAGTAGTACTACTAGTAGGCATTCACTGCCTGAGCTTTGTAATTTTTCTTCCAACAAGAATCACCAGCCAAAGAAAGAACAACAACAACAAGAAGTAGTATTAGTCTTACAAGCCAAAATCCGTGCTGAATTGCTACTAGTACTACTACTATTACTACTA